AGATCTTTTCTCTTATTCAATATCTACTAACAATATTATAGAACAATTAGGAATATGTATTGTACATGTAATTAATAATAATGATTTTTAATTGGGGGTGTAAAAATCAGCACATAATTGTAAAAAATGCTAAGTGATTATTTTCAGGTTTAGCAATCGCGAACATGCACATGTTTCTAAAGAAAATTTAAAAAAATGTGATTTCGTTTTTATTTTAGTCATTTCTAGCGAGCTGGAGTTTCTTATTTATCGGAATATATTATACTAATACTAGCGGCGCAATCACTGCTGTGCACTCGAAAGTGTACATCTTATATTTGTAATCACGTTGATTTACGCTGCTCGCAGTATACGCATAGAAAAGACTTCTATGATAATGTTGCGCGTTGACTGTTGTGTACTACAATATTTGCATATACATATACACGTTATTGAACCATATAAAAATACTCTTTCTTTACAATTGTATTTGGCTTAAGAAAAACTATAAGAAATCTGATTCACATGTACCTTGATTAAATAACATGAAAAGCACTTTAGCTCTAATATTATTAGAATGGAAATCCAATAATATGTTATAATGTAATGAATATTATCAGAAACTTAATGGAATATTGTTAATATATATAATTCTGATGCATATCAGCAAACAATATTTTTTAACCTTTTAATTAGAAAGTAGTTTTTGTGTCTACCGCTGTCTTATTTTCCTTGCAATTCTCTTTCTGGATATACGTATATAAATTTAAGTTTGTTTTTGGAATGTAATCATGTAAAATTGTTTGAAACGGCAATCACATGGCTCTTTAATTTCTCTTCCACTTTCTGTTCCAAATTTTTTTTAATATAAATTTCATTAAATCGATACAGCATTCTGATTACATGGAAGAAACCTCTTTGAAATATTTGGCATCTTTATAAAAACCTTAACATTCAGTGAAAATGTAGGAAATATTTTTTATCTAATGAATAAGAAAACAGAAATCTATAATAAGAAATTAATATTAATCATTAATTTGATTTTGACTTTTCAACATGATAATTATCATGTTGAATTTAAGGTGATCAACTCCTTAAAGGAGCAAAGAGGAACATTAAAAAAATTAATGTTCATTGTTGTAATTAAATTTTAATAGATAAACATTTAAAACAATAATTTTTTAACAAAACACATATAAACAATATTATATTATTATATCTGTAAATAACTAATAATAAATAACTTAATTTATAATATAACATACATATATCGCAACAAAAATTATATCGAGTTACGAGACCACATTTTATTTTTTTAAATTATGTCTCTCTACTAATTGTATTTTATGAATAATATCTGGATTTTAAAATTTAAAAAATCATAAAATTCTTCACATATTAATTGAAAATTATATTTCACACTTATACAAAAAAAAAACTTTCACTTACTATTTTCACTCATTAATTCACATTTATTATGTTTACATTTAAAAGAGAGGTAATTTTAATCATGTCCTTTATTTGGGGTAAACAAAATTTGAGACGCGTTTAAAGTGGGACAAAGAGTTAAAATTTGATTGTTTCTCCTAATTTGGAATGATTGATTACACTAACAACGTATCTTAAAAATTTCACATCGGGATTTTGCGTCGTAATATCTTCGTTCATAAGGCACGTAAAAAAAATAAAAGCACTTTTATTACACGCAATTCGAGTGGACGCAATTGAGCGTACGTAGAACTTGATCGGTTCAGTCGTTATTGAGATCCAATAATCTCAATCCTGAATCCCCTGGAACTCGCGGACTCGCGTAAAGGAACAAGTATCGCTGCGCATGTCTTAGCTCGAATTTACAATAGATTTTTAAGTCTCAAGCCATAAAAAATGGATGAATCGTAATTGGTTATTCTTTTCGCATTCGATTGTAATTGGTCAATTTCTTATGGCTTAAGGCTTAAAATACCTGTTGTAGATCCGGACTTAACTGAACTTAACTACCACGTCTCCTGATAAGATATTGATGCTGCAGCGCTCTTCCTTTAGTGTATGTAGCAAGCGTTTTAATAACGAATCAATAAGATTTTGATATTTTTACTTGTAAATTAAGGACTAATCTTTTATCGATAGATTTTTACTTTCTTATTCGTAAGATAAAAAAAAATATCCTTTACGTTTTCATCGAGATTTTCACTGCTTGTATATCAAGGTTCTTAAATGCCAAGTATTTTAAAGAGATCATTTTTGCCGAGACAATCGAAAAATACTATTATTGACTTATATCAATTTAATGAATAATGTTTATTGAACAAAGCTGTCAAGAAATTGGACATAAAAGAAACATCCTACATTTTATATATATAAAGAAGAAGTAAGAATGTTTCATTATATATA